TTTTGGTTTGGGATGAAAACCTATTTTTGACTTTTACCAAAGTCAAGGCAAAGGACGTTAAATTAAGTCTTTGTGTAGGTGGACTTGTGCAGTGCCTGGTCCACGTGGGACAACTGCTTTGCCTCCTAAAGTGTCCAAATCATGTTGACATGTCCTCTGGTCACCAGCAATACACCCACGTGTGTAATGGATACACACTTGCTTTATAGTTGGATTACCTGCTCAGAGTATCACTTTATTTATACTAAACACTTGCCACGTGCTTATCAATTGCAAGCCATTTCAGTCCGTGTCTACATTACAAAAGACAAAACGGAAAAACTAAACCGCCAAACATCCTAAAAATACAGCCGCTTCTTAAAACTGAAGTGAATGCCATCCTCAAGTGTGGAATAAAACCTGCCAGGCTGAATGCATCTGTGGAGGGGTGGCGGGAGACACTTTGATCAACAGCTCTACGTATACGGAGCATATATTTGGGGAAACAAAGCAAAATCGCAGCCGCTAATCCTCTGCGGTTTAGAGCACATTCCCCCGGAATCCTTTGATCTCTGGAGTGCATCCGGACAGCTGACTCCAGACTGCACACGCACACGCGTGAACACATTTGCACATACGTGAGTGTCATTCCATTCGCACCGCGAAGACGACAAGTGGCTGGGCCGTATTCCCCACGGCACCGTCACCGAGCAGCCAATCAATGCCGTTAGAAACCCTAAGCATTTCAGCGCACTTGTCTGAGAACTCAGCAGTCATATTAAAATGTGAATGTGACGTGAGGCCGCCCTTGTGAAATACACAGGCGAGGTTGAGGAGGTGATGCTCAGGGGCAAAAAAGGAGGAAATGGGATAAACCTGTTCAAGCGTCCACATGCCACTCGGGCTTTGTCTCGCTCATATATCACAGAGGAAACGTCTCCACAAAAGAACCTTTTTCACAGAAACCAAGAGTTGCTTTGTCACACGGGAAAAGTCTCAGACTTTAAGTAATCTAGGTGACACGCGATGCCGGATGTGACATTAAAGCCTCGAACCTTCTGGGCCCCCTGAGCTACGTTGACGTCAGCCGGAGACTTCCACGCCACCAAAACCCCCCCCATATGGCCAGGTGCTACGCCTCCTCCCCATAAGGCTTTTCTTCTCTTTAGAGTGTGGCTTCAAAACTTTTCTCACAGCCTCTTCTTCAAAGAGCAACAACAGGCCCCTCGGTCCCTTGGGAGCACGGAGCCCGATGTGGGAGGGGGGGGGCACATACGTCACACGGCGCGCACAAGAGGCCGGCCGGTGGGAAAAGCAAAACGCACGGGGCGAAAGGACAGGGGGGGAAGGCGAGAAAGAAGGAAGAGGAGTGTGTTTTTATGAAAAGGTGCTTTTCAGCTTGGAGGAACGAGGGCCCTCCGCTTTGTGAGGACGACAAGCACAACATGCGAGGAGCGAAAGACGAACGGGGCGCCGCGTCTTTCATCAGACCCGCAGGCCGAGGGAATGCGGTGAATAGCTCTAGGCCTACTTCCAAAAAGAAAAAGAAAAAAACGTTCTACTTAAATAAATTAATAAAAGCAAATCAAAGGGCTAGCAACCATCTGTGGGAAAAGGGGCTTGGGGGGGGGGGGGCAGAAGTTTCACTGCGATTCACTTTTGAGTTGAGCTCCTTCGTCAGACGTACCTTCTCTTTTTAGTCTGCGTTCAACCAGACAAGCTGAGGAGTGCTGAGATATTAAGATAAAAGATATTATGATAAATTCTGAGAGCAAGGGGGACTTGTGGGAGACGTGAGGGGGCTTCTTTTAACAACACACAGGAGGCGGGGCTTCACGGCAGAGGAGGAGCCATCAGTGTCACTTCTGACACTTCCCTGAGTGGCCCACTTCAAATTCAGTCTCATTTCATCAGCCGACACAGGGCCGCAGGGTGAACGCGAGAAACAGATGGAGACCAGGAGGGAGGGGGGGGGGGGGGGGGGGGGGGGGGGGGTGGGGGGGGACCAGAGCAGAGGAGGGGGAGGGGAACTTGAAGTATAGAAAAAAGGGGAACCCTTGGGTTGAATAACATTTTCCTTTTTAGCTCCTCTTGACATGCTACCAACAGAATGGACTTTTATTTCATCTGATGCCAAGAGAAGCTGCCCTTAAGATTAGCCAACAGAAATGTCAACTTCTAAACACTATCAATGCCCGTAACATGTGGGATTTAGAGGTGGGTGAAGGATCTGATTGTTTGGAGACCCACAGATGCACCTTGCCACACAACTCCCTGTCTGTCTGTCATGCTTAAACAAACCTCATCCGACTGCACGACTCGTGAACGGGTGTAGCGTCGGCATGGCGACATCGGCAGGATCTCAAGGGCACGTTTAAGTCCCGACGGATCCTCGCGTGCTGGTTCTCCGTTAGATTCTCCATTAGTGGTTTTAAATCAGTCTTCAGAGCGACGGGCTTGCATGAAATTGGCGTTGTTCCCAATGGAAATATAGTTTGGAAAACAGATCAGATCAAAAGAATTCCAAGCGTGGACTTCCTGCTGTTGACACTCGACCCACATTCTCCTGGACCCCGGTTCAGTTGGGAGGGCTGCTCAAAGAACAGGGGTTATAAATAACTGTCTCACCAGGTATTCCATCCAACATGGGCAGCGTTAAAAGCTAAGAGAGTCGAGCGCACATCCACTCACCTAAAGTTTTTAAACTTCTACTCAAATAGCGTTAAGACTTGTGATACATTTAAAGCATGTTAATATTTTCTTGACTGAAGGTTTGATTTAAAATAAATTCACTAATTTGACACAGAATAGGAATCATTTTTGATTAGAGTATAGTTTTTAGGTCAAATGACTTTCACACACGGAAATGAATCCATAAATGATAAAGATACGTTACGGATCTGATAACATTTGTGTGCCACAAATCTTGCAACTGGAAAATATCTTAATGTACTCAAATTAAGTTGCATACCGATTGCACCCCTTTCAAAACGTAAACAGTAGGGTTTGGGATTTTCTTATAAAAGCAAGGAACTAAACCACATTTACTCAGTCAAAAGGAATTAATGCACACACATCTCAAACGGTCATATCGGATTCATTGGCAGAAAAAAAATGGTTGAAGGCAGTTTTGTGTATGTATAAATATATAATATACACTGAATATGGTATTGTCCCAATTTCAAAATGTAACACCTGAATGTCCTGGATATTTGGGAGTTGTGTGTGCGAACATGTTTCTGTCCTCTATGCATTGCATATTCAAACAATTACTTGAAATGTGTAGAAATATGTTCCTTAACACAAGAAGCAAAGAAACGTTTTAAACTTTCAGATTAAAAATAAAAAGGCTGTCGTTATGAATCACAAATACAAAAGTACATATATATTGATGGTGGAAACACCTTTCTTCTTTTATTCAACCCCCCCTCGGAGCTACATAAGCCATTAGGCACCCGGAAATGAGACTAACCATTTTATTCCAAAACATCCAATCCTTTCAGCTCGTCTTCCATCCCAGGCCAAAACTTCTCCCACACAAACAACACGATTGTTGTGATGCTGCACCTGGTTATTTCAATGAAACAAAATGAACTTTTTCCAGGTAGCAATGTGACTTTAAATGCTTAAATTCCCATTGGTGGATGAAGCCCACTCAGCACTTAAGCACGCTGTTCTGCTGCAACAAGCTCTGCAAGAGTTATATAATACGAGTTTTAGGGGGGGTTTTAGAGAGATCGCCAACAAATGGCCCCAAGACAAAAGCCTGACGTGAGAGGGGCCGCTACAGCATGAAGATGTTTAATGCAGCTTTGGGCACGTGTCAGAATTAGCGACACCATGCCGTTGAAACAGGAAAAGCGAGTCCCATCCTCCCAGCACAATTGATTGCTTGAAAGTCAATAATCAACTGAATAAAGACGACCACGACCTCTCTCTCACCACTAACTCCCCACGCAAAGCCATGGCCGAAGCTATCGTAAAGACACCTCGCTGAAGGAGGAAAAAAAAACAATGGTGGACTTTGGACCTGGTTTGGCGGGAGTCAGTAGAGATTTCAGTTGCCTTCGTCGAGTTTTGATGCACACACATTCACGCAAATCAATCCACATGTCAACTGCAACCTAAAGGAACAATCAACAACGGAAAAGAGTACTACAAATAGGTGCTGTAATTTGTTAAAATGCACCTGGATCTGGTCTGCGTTTGATGGGTAGATGCATTTCTGCACAAAGTGTCTAGCTCCACGCTGAAGGAACAGATTTTCCTTCTCTTCTTCTCGATGGGCTCCAATTCCTCAAACACGCTGCCTTTGAGGAAGGTCTCACTAACCAAAAAGAGGCTTAAGTCTCCTCTGAAGCCATTCCAAAAGGATTTCCCCACTTGACAACAACAGCGCAGTGTTTGCAGCGGTGCCAAAAAAAAAAAAAATACAAAACAAGCCTGACCTCCAACATTTCTCCCCAGCCTTTAACAATCCACACTTGTCACCAGACTGTCACACCGCGATGCTTTCAACTCAGGCCCCTCAGATCAGTGCAGAAAGAACAAAGATGTGTCACGAGCGCAGGAGAGGTAACATTCATTTTGTCAAAAAGGGAAACAGGGAAATAAAAATGCGCACACTAGATGTTTGCTCAAGTCAACAGCGAGCATGTGTGTGTGTTTACATTTATGTGTTTATTTTAAAACACGCACAAAAGAAAGTGCATCACTCATCGGCAGATGTTCTCACAACATGAAACCAGAAAAAGCTCAATCTTTGCCGCCAGCATGAATATTTCTCCACAAATATTAAATGTGCGTCTACCAACGAAGCTTTCAGAAAGTTTACTCATATTACCTATTAAGTGAAATGCCTTGAAGCACAAAGTAAGTAGGGGTGGGGGGGGACACCGCAAACACCTCGTCCCAATTAAGTGAAATACGCACAAGCACCGCGAGCACACACAATTTGAACGCGCATCTATCACGCTACACTTGTACATATAAAATACGTGTACTCGGACGCGTGTACTCACCCGTGCAGCCGACCCGCAGCTATCCTCGCGGTGACAGTCCCGTCGCTCGAGGGGAGCGCTCGTGCAGTAGTATTTCTGCTTCAGGAGCCAGTCGTCGATGCCCTTTCTCGCCAAACAGGCGTTGACTACAAAACTGTCGCCTGAAACAAAGAAGCGCACTTTTTTCTTTTTTTTTTTTAGCGGCTGCACGCGAGAACGCCGCCGCGCTCGCGTGGAGCACGAGCGGTCCTGTATCTTCAACAACAAAAAGAGTCGGGAGTGTCTTAATGAGCTGCGAGGAAAAAGGTTTCCGCGGCTCACAAACTCACCGAAATTTAAAAAAAAAAAGACTTTTTGTTTAAAATTGTGGTTATTTAAAAAAGGGAGAGAAATAAGCGCGCTTACCTTCTGGGCTCTCCCTCGGTTTACAAATAGCGGCTTGAGAGAGAGAAAGTCAGGAGACAATGAATAGTGTTACTTGAAAGTAGCGCAGCACAATAAGTGGGATTTCTCCCCGGAATAAGAGACCTTACCATGTTTCGAGTGCAGTTTACCCATTTCTATGCATCGGGTTGGAGTTGAAAACCATCAGAAGAATATAATCCAGAGGAATAAAAAGAAAAGAAAAAGCGGCTCCGATATCCAGACAGCGGAGCGTCCGTGGAGACCCGGGAGCAGACTGCGCGGGGCTCGGTGGAGGACCGTGTGACCGGAGAGCCTTTGATCCCGAGCGACGCTGCGCGAGACGGGAAACGCAGGACGATACGCGACTTCCTGTCAACCCTTTCCGAATAAACCATTTGGCGTGGCGAGGCACGCGTCTGGGGACAACACAATGAAAAATGTATGGCGTGAGCTCTAATAGCGATATGAAACGTGAAACCAGAAACAATTACAACGTATTCCCATTCCCACCAGGGATATGAAAAACGTGCCTCTTCGTGCCCCACATGTTTTTATTTTGAAAATAAATACAGCCACTTCCGATGTGGTTTTCGTTGTATTGACGCAGCTCCTTTCGCGGTCTCTTCAAAGAACATATTAGGCATCATGCAAACCTTCATCTCAATCGCCAAAAGAGATTATGATTTACTCTGAAACCAACACTGCAAGCAAGAGCGAGCAAACGCACTCAGTATTATAAGTTGTTCTGGGGGCTTCCACGTGTTCCTGGAGGGCTTTCAGGACTCGAGCAGGTTTGGGACCAACAACCTCAGCTCAAACAAATCCAAATCACAACATGTAGTTTTGTAGCATGTTAGTTGCGAGGAAGTCAGAAGTCAGTGACTGACAACATCTAAAATTAGAAAGCGTTTGCAACAATGTAACTTCCATAATTTAGAGTGAACAATCAACATTGCATGACATGATCAACTTAAAACCCGCTTGTGTTGTCTATTGACACATATAGTTGTTCCATTTTAGTGATAAAACGCACTACACAGTGATGCTATCGCAGGGGCTTCCTGGGGACAACATCTTATCACAATGTCTTTAACATGAGAATTTAAAAATCCCAGTGTAATTGGACTGAGGCAGAAGATGAAAAAAGGCTAAGTTTCTTTTGAAGTCTTAAATTAAATAATAAAAGACATAGAGGCCACTGTGCCATGTGGTGTGCCATGCTGCTGCTGGCGCAATGTGACATTAAGACACACAGAGCGCTTTGAGCATCGTGAGAAAGCTGAAATTCACAGATTAAGTTTAAGAATTGGGAACTTTTTGCGATTTTCAATCTGTGTCTGTTGAATCGCATAGAATAGTTTAACTCCAGAAACCATTCATGCGATTGTTAGTAAAAATGTATGATAAAAGAAAATGTAATTAGTTATCCTAGAAACAAGAACAAAACATTTCATCCATTTGTGATGAATCATTTCATCATGGAAAAAAAAACGTGTTTTTCAAATGCTGGATGTCTAATTGGAGATCAAAACCCTTCTCTTGTCATATCTGTGTCACGGCGTATTTTTACTTGCATATCAAAAAACTGAAGATTAAAATCTTACTGGAGGCTTTCTTTTGTTTGATCTTGACATCTGTAAAAGCAAATTGTTGAAGAGCCAATTTCACCATCTAAAGACATGGCTGCCACGTGGTTGGGTAGCATCGCCTGGTCTGTACACATCTGACACAACCATCTTGGTTGGAAACCCTCATACACACAAAACTTGAACCCACTTTAACTGTAAATCCGGTCGGACACTTTAATACGCCAACTTCCTGCAGAGGAAGCCCTACGCATTCCTGCACATCGTTAAGCTGCTGGTAGCCAAAGGTGACATATGCAAATTTGACAGAGTTGGGAGGATTCTTCCGGAAGTCACAATCGATGATCAAATGTAATCAAGGGCAAATTTCCGGTCGAGGGTTTTCCCGTCTTTAAGAATGAGATATACAGTGGGATCCGCATCCCGCCTCCATCGTCACATGCTGCACCAGAAGGAATCAGGCTCCCCTTTGAACTAGTCTGACACAGACACACAGATGAGCTTGTTATTACAGCAACTTGCCTGAATTCGCTGGGAAAGAAGGCCTGTCCCTCTGACACACTTCCTGTCCTTTGAAGAGGCCAACGGAGAGATGGCTTTGCGGGCCCTATTTCCGAGCTTCCCCTTTGATGCCTGCGAGAGAGGAGGTGGCGGGGGTTTAAAGCAAGAGTTTCATCTCATGGAAGTGAACCCCGAAACCTCCAATCCATCCCCACCATGCACAGGATGCAGCGATTTTAGCTTGACACCTCATCAAATTAGAGGAGAACAAAACAAAATAAATGTCTTTCTCTCATTAAAGCTTTCATCTCGATTTCTGCTGTTTCTTGGGTTTCCTCCTTTTATGGTTGAAAAAATGCTTGATAGAACAAAAGCTAAATTCGTGAGGCACCTGCCTGATTGATGTGGGTATTTGTTGACCTGGAGGAGCCCCTACCTTGGTGGCCAACTACAGCTCATTCCACCATAAAACTCACCATTCTCCCTTAAAACAGGCATAATGGGGGCATTGGGAAGGTTAGATTCGGGGGGTGGTGGGGATCTAATGGTTTGTCTGTATTTATGTCCCCGTAACAATGTTAGGGGCCTGACGCCTGGGGAGCCCACCGGAGGGAATGATGCCTGGTGGTGAGGTGGGGGATGTGAAGCATGTATAGCGGGAGAGAGGAGCAGCTGCCGGGCGCTTAAAGCTCAAACATGTGACTGTTTGCCTTTATCTTGAGGAACAAAAGGGCGTAAATGTTATAAAAGGGCAGAAGACAATCGCGACTGGAGTACAGTGTTGATTCCCGCAGCGGCAGTGACTCAGCCCATTGTGGCGGCCCAGCGTGCGACGTGTCAGGCGAGGAGAGAAAGACGGACCGGCATGCGTTATGCATCCCGGAAAGCACCGGAGAAGACCTGGATTCACGATGTTTCTGGACACGTTGGTTTGCTTTAGGCGTTCACAGCAACCGCTTACTTTGTGCTAACGCATTCTGAGGTGCTACGCGGTGCAAAATTCAAACGTCAAAGCGTACTGCTAACAACACCTTTGATGTATTTATAGAAACTAACAGACAGCAGCTCCTTCCTTTGAGAGCCTTCAATGTCCCACAACATTAGCATGTTTTATGTGGCAGCGCATACATGAGAAAAAATATATATACTGCACACACACGACAGGCACACAAGATGTGGTGTATAGATTTTTGCAGATTGTAATCAAAATAAAAAATGAATACTATAAAGCAAAAATTGTCCAAATGACGTGTAGCAATGTGCCGTTTCAGAGTCCGTACAGTCACAAGTGTACGTCCTGCGCGATACAAATTACGCCACGCTGATCGTACCATGATGCGTAAAGTATAAATTTGGCTTTACACCACTTCAAAGCTGGTTTTGATCTTCTTAATCAGTTTTGTCACATTAGCGGAAAAAATCCTTAAACTGCACAAAATTATTTGATGGTGGTGAGACTACAATATTCGCAAACACCAGAGTTAAAAATAAATCATCCAGATGAGATTTGTTTTGATAAGATTGCTGATCCTGTACTCTGCACTATTTGTTTGTAGTGTAAAATAGGAGAATCCCACTTAAACATTCCTTTTAATCTCAACAGCAGCTCGTAACAGGGCCTCAAGCCCAGACGCTTCCCCTTTGCAAAATATGTCTACAGTAAAGCTGAACAGAGCAAGTGATTAACAGCAAATAAACACAAAATTGTGCAGACTTTCAGGCGCACCGCTGAATGACTGTTAATTTTTCCAACGTTCCAAATTCAGGCCAAAGTCAATACTTTCTGCTTCTGTACTTCTCTTTACTATCTGCACTCGGCACTGGCTGCTTTTCTGAAGCGGCGGGGGTGTAGCCCCATCCAGAACGAGGACACAATTAGTGTATTCAGCCGAAAACAGTGGGGTTCCCCCTTTGATGTGGGGATCAAATGAAGGAGCTGTGTGTTTTTGTCCAAAATGACAGGCTTGCCAGGTTTACTAATGGGTAGCTAATAGAAAGAGAGGGTTATGATGCTCATTAATTACATAGTCTGTCATGTGCTCGAAGGGTAGAATAGGGGAGATATGGGGAAACGAAGAAGAAGAAAAAAAACAGAGCGGGGTACAGCAGAGGAGGCAGAAAGAGGAGACTGGGGGGTGGTGGTAAAAAGGGGGTTGGGGGTGCTCTGAAAGGGTTGAATTGGAAAAGATTGGCGTAAAAGAGCAAGTGCAAGGAGATCTCCCAAGAGATCCGAAAAAGTGAGAGAGGGGAAGAGAAGAAGAAGAAAAAGAGGAAGAGAAAGACAGGAACAGGAGGAGATAAAATAATCCCTTCCCCAAGATAAGAGCAGCCACCAAGACAGGAGCTTCAAAGAGCGGGAGACACTCTCATGGGAGCGTGCCGTAAACCTTTTCCTCATCTTCAGAGGGATATTCAGTCCCTGATCCCAACACGCCCAAGCTCTCAGCACCCACCGCCCTGCAGGTGACTGAGGCCCGGCGACTCCGGGAGGGAGGGGGGGGCGTGCACACTTCCAAGCAACGCTGGCTTTGAACTTCTGGGACACACGTGGAGTGGCGATGTTGATCTGCACACGCGGTGCAAATGTGAATAGTTAATGAAGAGAGAAGAAGAAAAAAACATAAATCAGAGTCCGTCACTCCCACCACGGGGGAAGACTAGTGATCTCCGCTATCGGCCTCGACCAGCACAACTCCCACGAACCCTCTGCCGTCTGCGGCTCGTCCTTTCAAGCTGAGCCACCGACAATGCCGTTGGCGGCCGCGGCCGCTCCTTTGTGGCGGGGTGGAGGTGTGACCGTGTGGGGTGTCGCTAGTGGACGGGACGGTGAGTTTACGTTAAATGAGGCTGCTATTAACACTGAGGCCGTGCAGTGACCTGCGTGAGACCAGGCAGGCTCTCGTCCCCACAGGGCCGGGCAACCATTGGGGCCACTCAGCCAGACACGGTTTATTTAGCTAAGCTCCGAGTCTCCCACACGTAGAGGCCCACACTGCCATGGAATTCATTATCCGGGGCCTTTAACGGGCCCCTGGTGTTTTGAATAGTTTCTGCAGGCTTTGAAATTGCAGTCTCTGCTTGGGTTCAATCGCAGAGGCCGTGATCAAATTGCACTGTGAGTGTTATATCATCTTCAGGGAATCCTGCTTGAGACGTGAGGCTGAGGTCCACACAGGAAAACAATGGCAGGCTAATACCCAAATATTTAGCAGCACGTTCCACAGCGAGG